AAGAGTTTGAACATAAGACTATAAGAATCCTAAACAAAAGCATGAATGCCATTCATCAATATTGTATTACAGCTTGTATTGACTGTACTTGAATTACAGAAATACTGATTTTAACACAAAATGCAGAACACCACTTGCGAAATTGGAACTGACTTCATCAATAACAGCACAAAAAAAGCTACAGAAAGATAGCAATGCTGCGTAAACAGGAGTCAGAAATTTATCAAATGTGTTAAGGTCTCTTCCACAGTGCTGTTGATGGCAGCTTCCAGACCAGGAGCGGCGCAACAGCAGCACCCACTTGCTGGGCTGTTCTAATAAGAGCAGATAAAGATCTAAAGCCCAGCCAATATTTCATGAGATGGCTGTCTTATATCCTATTTTCTGCTGCTTCTTGACCACTAATTTGATTGCTGCTGTTTGATTACCATCATATGCCAATGAAGAATACAAGGAACATCCAACAGAACTGCTCAGGGACCCAAAGAGAACTGCTGCAGTTTAAAAAACACCAGCTTTTTTTTTTTTTTTCTTTTTTCCTTTTTTTTTAAAAAAAAAAAAAAAACAACAAAAACAACAAACTGCACCCTTTAGGTACATGTAAGGCCATTAATTAAACATACTCTGTCTGAAAGCAAGAAAGGCATGTTATAAATATCCCAGTATCAAATATTAAAAAACCCCGAAACCCAGAGCCCATGAAAAGCGTTATCCAGTTACAGCTAGTTTACATCTCGGATACACAGAGAAGAAACCCACCACTTTATTTCTTGAAGACTTTATGTTTTATGTCTGCCCCTCTCCTGACAACTCCTATTGTCTGGCCCCTGAGTAGCCCTACTGAGAGCAGCTGTACACGCTAATTTGTGGTTCACTGAGATGTCAATTGAGTCTTAAAATGAGAAAACAACAGCTGCAAAACAATACTTGGCTTTGGCACAAATATTTTCTAAGGTGTTCCAAAGTTTAAGATGTTTTATTAGATAAACATAAATACAAACCTTAACCCTAGATCAAATAATAAAATAATCAGAGCTTCAGTCATTTTATGTCGGTGTTTCTCATTCTGCAGAAGCATTTCAAGTGTTGAAGGATTTAACAACTTTACCTTGAAAAGGGAGGACTTCTTTCATTTGACGAAGAACAAGTTTCCGAATGCACTTCTTGGCTTTCATTTGCTTTGGAACTATTATCGCCACTATCCCAACCTGTTAAGTAAAACGATGAAATATAAATTTCCAAATAAAAATGGCTGGCCCTTACAACAGCATGCACTCACTAGCAACAACACACTTATTTTCAAATAAGATGCACGTAATGGCCACACTTTTGGTTTGACGACAAAATCTAGAGAAGAGCACGCACCATGCAGTTATGGTATCTGCCTCAAGGTTGTTTGCTGATGATGAAGTGGAAATTAGTTAAAAACACAGAAAACAAGACTCCCTTGCTATCAATTAAGTTATCTGATGACGATTTCTTGTGAGTAGTGAAATTTTGGCACATTTTCTCTCATTTTAGAACAAAGAGTGAACACAGAGGTTCTCTTAAGAGCTGTATTGCATTATGGCAACTAAGCAAAACTTAAAGGATTTCCAGGGTCTTTTTACTCTTTTTTTATCCCTGAGTTCTCATTTACTTTAGTTAATCAGGAAGCAAGGTTATTTTTATTCTCTTTCCCCTTAAATGTAGATTATTTTGGATAGTAACAGTTCTCAGTATGATTTGATAGATTAGGACCAACTACTCTCTCGAAATAAAGCTGCATCTGGGAGACAAAATCTTGGGATTTTTATGACTTAAACAGCCAAGCACCCAACTATTTAAAAAAAAAAATCTTTTATCCACACTTTCCTTTCTTTCCTTTCCCCCCACTCTGTGTATCTCATTTCCATTCTGTAGAGTTTGATCTAAAAGAGGTAAATGCATTAATTCACTGGAATTGTACAACTGTTCATCTTTGTACTCATTTCCAAAGAAGATGATGCTCAAGTACAAATCCCACTTTAAAAGGCTACTTTGCAGATATATATGCAGTACTGAAGTTATAAACAAGCCCTGATTGTTACCAGCTTCATTTGAAGCTAGGACAATTTAGTATTTTTTTGTGTCTTGGACAGTCTATTTTCAACCTAGCTGTGCAGGTGAACAGTCCGCTCCAGCAGATCACACCACTCTGCCCTTGGATTTCAGCAGCAGAAATCCTGCTCGGTCTCAGGCACTTCCAGCCACAAGGTGCAAGATGTCTGACCGGCACAGAAGATGGCAGGGCTCAGGCACAGGAGCCACCCCGGCAGCAACGTGCTGCTTCGCAGAACAAAGTCTGACTGCTTTACAGAGAACACATGAAGGAAAAAAGAAAAATCAAGAATGGAGGGAAAAAAAGAAAGGGGGGGGCGGGGAAGGGGACTTCCTCACCTCCCTTTCCCATGTTGTACATGTGGAGAGGAGCAGAGACCTGTGGTGATCACGGAGGATGCCCTGGATGTGAGGCTGACAGCAGCTCGTAGCTGCAGTTAAGCGATGTGGGCATGCACTGAGAAACCACTGACCACATGAATATGCACGCTACTTTGTACATTACTTCAGCAAAGCAAAAAAAAGCTAATTCAATCTAATCAAGTCAGAACTCCCAGAAACTGCTTTTCACTCCAGCAGTAAAGCACCTAACATAGGTGCATTTTTCAGGGCTCCTTATGCATGGATTCAAACTACCACACAGAATGCAGCCGAGATTATGTGCTTGCTTCTTGCCTGGGGATAGAGCAGGCTTTGCTTCAGGAGAGCATCCCTCTGCCTCCAGAAAGCCTTGCACAAAGCAAGCTGTGCCCGGCTAATAGCCCAAAGACTCTGCAAACGTTCAAAGCACAGTTATGGGTGCCCTCAGACATGACTGTGACGTGTACATGGCTTGCTCCTTGTGTAAAGAACGTGAAGCAAACTGCTTCCGCACACATCATCAGCTCTAACCACCTTTCCCATTTCAGCCCTGCACGCGCAGAGGGACACATTCACCTTGTTACAGTCTGTTAATGGACTGAAAGCTTTTCCTCCTTCCCAGCCACAACAGGTAGAGAGTTTCCAGAGTGGATGGTAGCCTCAGAGGGTGTTAGCACGCTGGTTAAACAGCTGCATCCCATGTGTGGCCTCTCAAAGCCTTCCCTCTGTCTGAGCCTGGGAACCCCAGCCTGAGCAAGGACCCAATACCTAGCTTGCTGTCGATGCGGTCCCCTGCAGCAGGAACACATCTGCAAACTCAGGGGAGTGCTTCTACCTGTGCACAAGTAACTTTCTCTGTTGCTGTTGAATGCTCTTCCCGCCCCTCAGGGCAGCGACATGGAGCCTGTCCTTGACCCAGGTGCACCTGCCACACCTTTCCAGTTGGCACTTCCAAGTCCAGGGCTTTGCCAGCTCTACCAAATCTCAAGCTGGGCCACTGTTGTCATGCAGCTCTCCTTACTGCTTCTGCACGCACACCAGCCTCAAAAGACCATTCCCCCTAGGCTTTCCACGCCTGCACTGGCTCCCCTTCCTTCACAACTTCAAACAGTAACACAAACTACTTGTTCTTCACCTTTAAGACCCTTCAGAGCCCAGCTTTGCCCTACCTGTCAATTATAATACAATGCTGGGCTATCAGTCCCCACTTCTGCCTTAGTTACACCACACTGCCTTGCCAATTAGCCCAGTTGTTCCCCTTGAGCATCTTTGTGCTGACTTACGTCCTACACACCCTACAGAAATGGGAGATCTGTCTAGGAACTCACAAGCCCACCAGCTTGCCTCCCTGGAAAACCTGTCGTGGTGATTCATCTGGGTTGTGGCACCCACGAAGCGTCTGACAGTGCGCACGCAATCAGTGTGCAGCGACTGCTGCTTTGTGTGCTGAGCAATCACCCGGCTTTTACCTCCTCTTACCCCACTCATCCGCTTAATCCCCATGCCTTCAACAACACATCCACATTGTAAGTCTGAGGAAAGGAAGAGTCTCAGTTACGGATGTGCCACACTGACAATAAAACCAACCCAACCTGGACACACAGCAATACTTGCTTCGCTTTTGTGAGCAAGCACAAGCGACTGGTGCAACGTATGGGGCAGAGAAGACACAAGAAACAGACTGCTAGGAGAAAAAGCCCTTAAGCACTTTTCCTCACTCCCAATAGAAGTGCATCATACCATAAAACCTTCATAAAACTGGTTGTCACATTTGAAGTTAAATGCAACTTAGTTCAAAAAGACACGTTCATTCCGGGAGGGTGCATGTGTTTCTGTTGTTTGTTTTGCCAGAAGCATCTACCTTGCCCTGCTGTAGCAGCCAAGTGCACTCTCCCTGTCGCAGGCTGGGCACAGCCAGAGGCATGCTGTGCTGAAACACAAATACACATTTTTCTCACAGCATGTAGCAGAACACGATAGCCCTGGCCAGAAAGATGCACTAAGTGGAGAAGATGCGAAAAAGAAAAAAAGATCAGTTTAGATCACACCAGCAGTGTGCAGACTGACACCCTTGGATAAAAGAATGGCCAGTGCCATAGAAATCCTTCTGCAGGGAGCAGCAGCACTGGGAAGCGGAGGTGAGAGGAAGGGCTGTGGGCTGCGACAACGCTGCTGGAGCGCGGCAGCTCCCGACGGCTGTCTTGCAACGCCTCCTGGGCCATACACAGGCTTGCTGAAAAGCACCTCTCCCTTCCCATCTGAACTTGGTAAATTCTTGCTACGCAAGTAAGATAAAAGACAGATGCCACCTGCTTGACATTCTCTTCCCAAGTGGTTTTTGGAAGGAGTGGCCTCACCACACCAGCAGCTCTCGTGCTCCAGAGACACCTGAGAAGCAACGCCAGGGGGAAGCTGTCTGGACGGGGTACTTTGAGCATTTACTCAGTCTGAGCAGCCAGCCCATACTGCACAGACACAACTGCACAAGCTTGATAAAACTCAGTCTTTAAACCCAAACTGGGATGCTAATAATGGGAAGTTCTTAATCCAACCGTTCGAGCAATACTGCAGTAGAATGGGAGCTCGTGCGTCCGACGACACAGCTCTCCTCGCGCCTTTTTCCTTATGCATTGTTCCTTCCACTCAGAACTAGCAAAGGGTCTGCGATACCACTATTCACTAAAAACACTCCATACTTTTCAACACTGAATTAATTGTGCAGTTGTCATGGGTCAAAGCAGCTTTCATGTCAGCTTTTACAATTTTGTTCTGAACAAAATGGGTGTAGTTTTCTTCATTAGCCAACAATTCCAGGAAAAAAACACTGTCATTGCATAATGAACCATTATTATTTTGTTCTGCTGAACAGTTAAAGCGATCTTTGACCCAGAACATACTGTACCAGCACAGAACTGAAAAGAAGGTGTTTTCTCCATGCGTTCCCCCTATGGCTTAGGGGTGCAGCATCTATCGATTTATAGCCTAACATCTTGACGGCAAAAGAAGTGATGTAATTTTCTGCAAATGAAGAGATAAGACAGCTCTTGGCCTCATATTTACAACATTTATATCTTGCTAAGTATATTACTTCTCTCACAGAGGAAGAAGCCCACACTTTTTAAACAATAAAACCATCATTAAAGCCCTTCACTGCACCTAGAGTCACAGCACGGAAAAGTTGTCTGCAGACACCGAATCGTCTTTCTACAAACAATCTCCAAGTGCTTGACACTGCCTGTCTGGAAATGGGAAAGGTAACTCACAAGGTTGCTGTTTTTTAAAATCCAGACTGGGAATACAGAAATACCACTGTGTTCATGCATAGCCCATACAGTTTGTGAGCAAAACTGAAATCTTCAACCTAAGCGACAAACCACATCAGCAAGCCGTAGAAGTAGTATAGTAGGGTGCTGCTCTAGCAGGAGAGGAACAAGAGCACTTTGTATGCACTCAAAAGCTATAAGGAGCTATCATCCGTTATTTCCAATAAAAATCAATAATCCCATATGCAGACAGAGGTAGTTCGAGGGCAAAAGACAGCAGTGCTTTCGCCGACTCAACCCAAACACATATCTGCATCTTCCTCCCGCACGCAAGTGAGGGCCTACACCAAAAGGAACTTTGCTTTTTCTGTGTGCTTTTATCACCAATAAAGTAGTTAGCAGCTTGGGTATTTCAGCTGTCACTAGACTTCAAAGCCAATAATGCCTTGAAAGGAATATTATCAGGATCAGCTGAGCCTGCAAGCTGTGTAGTTTTACAGTTACCTTGGCAATAGCTATTGCATTTGCATTCAGAAGTCCTGGTAGGTCTGAGCTGCCATACTGCAAGGTCCCCTACCGAAAGAGAAATAGTTTCTGCCCAGAGAAACTTTAAACAAGCTCCTCCACCGTATTAAAACTAATTACTGCAATTGCTGATAATCTGTGAAAAGATGCACAGGATTAAAGGTGGGCTACCAGCTGGCATGCCACTGCCAGCACACCAACAGCCACTGCACACGCCTCTGCCTTGGGACCAGAGGTGCAAGTGCCAGACAGCCGTACACGGACTCTTCTATGCACCAGTCTCCCTTGCGATAAAGCAAAAAACTTGCAGAGAGAGAGGATAACGGCTACCTGCAAATCTGATAGGAGGATGTGGTCTTTGGAGAGCAAATAGATGGAAAAAAGCTCCAAATTAAAACCTGAGCAGAACACTGCAGTAACCAGGATCCAGGCGTAGGTCACATACCAACAAATATCTCCCCCCCCCCCCCCTTAAATTAAAAAAAAAAAAAAAAAAAAAGAGATAAAATACTATTATTGTAATACAGCAATGCACGATGCCATCCTCTCAAGAGCGGACACTTGGATGACAAGCGGACTCAGTTAATCCCAGTGGAGCAAGCCATCCAGTGAGAGTACTTCTAGAAGCTGCTGCCTCTGTTTAAAGATTGAAGAAGAATTTTCACCCAGAATTCGTAACTATAAGACGACACTGAGGTCTTTCAGGAACTTAAATCAAGCAGCATAAAGTATCACCTACTGGAGTATGTAATCCAAACTAATTTAAGCAGAACGTACAATCTTACACCGTCCAAGGTAGCTCTGTCAGACCACAACAGCAGCAGCGATTAATCGTGTACAGATAAACTTTTTCATAGCAGCAGTTGAGAATGGGTTGATATCAAATGAAGTGAAAAGTTGGGTAGACTTATTAATGCCTTTATTAGTGCACTCCAAGTGGAACCTCGGGAACCTTTTAACTTCAAGCTCAAAGGAGCACCTCACCAGGAAGGATGCATGGGCGTGAGAAAAGTGTTGGCAGGATTATTGGCTCATTAAAGGTGACCTAAAAAGGAAAAACAGAATTGGATTTGTGCCCTTTCATGTTCCCTTATGATACATAAAGGAGGGCTAATTTTTTTCCTTCTTAAGAGGGTTTTTCCTCCTTATTTCTACATTAGAGATTTTACACCTGGAGAGTAGCTGGAATGTGACATTCAAGATGTTGTGAAAGTGAAGCCTGATGAGTGGAGAAGTAACACCATTTTTATTAAAATGCTTTATAGCTTTAACGTCTATTTAAATCAAAGACATAAATGAAGGGTAGAGAGAGAATGTGGTTTTGTTGAAGATTTAACAAACCTGCCCCTTCAATAAAATCAGCAGTTTCCCACTCATAAATGAGACTCTTAAACAGTCATCCAGCAAAACAAAAAATAATGGATTTTACCCTTTCTTTTTAATCTCACATTATTCACCTACCTCAGGAACAGCAAAAAAGCTGAACAATCTCTTTTACATGTCTTCTCACAGTAAAAAAAAACAGAGAATCCATGAAGAAAATGAGAACGACTCCACACATCCTCCTCTATCCTCACATAACCTGGTATAAAATGAGGTTGCTCTTTGAAGTCAATTATCATCACACGGCCTTCCACAAGCTTAGGACAAGGCCCTAGGAAAGAAACTATCTTTATGCGACTAGCTGCATTGCCCCTGTGCCCCCAGTTGACTTTGGGTTTGACAAGCTCACGTGTCCGGCCACGGATAGGAGCAGCTCAGCAGATGTTTCAGTCCAAGCCTCTGTTTAGAAGAGCTCCGGGTGAAGTCACGACATGAGCAGTTTCAAGTGCCAAGAGAGGCTGTCTCTAAGGGACATCCAACACCATGCCAGCTATCACTGTAAAGCCCTTTTCCCAAAAGCCACACAGCTATCTCCTCCTTACCCTACAAACATTAAAGAAAAAATACAAATACTTCTGCAATATTTACAGAGTATTAAAATAAATAAATTTTTTGGTTCTTTTTTCTATAACAGAAGTAGAAGAAAAATGAGCCAAAACTACAGAAGCGTTTGTAAAGTGCCACCACAGAAGACTGGAAGCACATCGACCTAGATCTCACAATGAAGTCCATCAGAACCCAAAAGGCCCAAGGTTTCCACTGTTTCAACCCAAAACTTAAAGCCCTTAAAGAATGCAGCAAGTACTGAAAAACCCCAAAACTTCTATCCCTTAAGCTTAGAACAAGTTGTACAGCAAAATAGTTGCATATAGAATAGACACTAAATATCAGTTAATCTAAAAACACAAAGCCAAACCCTCAAACAAGTAATTTGAACCCAAAAGGCAATGCACAGAGACACTGCCTCTGTTCTAGGCACTGAACAATTTCAGTGCTCCAGGGCCACAGCCTACAGCAAATAATGATGAGCAAAAAGGAAAAAAGCCACAGGCTGGAAGGGCGAGGAGCCAGAAGAGAACAAGAAGCCCAGAGGAGATCATGGGCTGAAGATGAATCGCATCTGAAAGGAGCAACTTTGCTTTCAAGTAAGATATGAAAAGCCTCACTCCTAGAGACAGTGTGACTGCCGGTTACTGGAAACACGCTGCAACAAAACAGCAAATAAAGCAGATTCAGAAAGAATGGATTTTAAACTGAAGTTACTGGTTTCAGTGTTTAGGTTAGGGAGAGTTTCTCAGTATTTTTACAAATAGGAAATAATAGTATGTGGATGCCCATTCATTAAGAAAGCTATGGGAGAAAAGGGATGTCCCTGGTGGCTTGGCTTTTGACCAACTGACATCTAACACAGCAACCAGCCGCACAGACCATCAGGGTCCCCCGCAAGAAAAACTGCAACAGAGCATTCCTTCACAGATTTGTATGCAAAATCATAGCTAAAAACAGTACCGTTAAGTCATAAAATTCAGAGCGGGGAGAAGCAAACCAAAAGCATTGGCAGCTACAGAAATCCAAACCCAAGAGCTGGTATTCTCCTTAAAAAAAAGTATCAGTGATACTGGCATTAGTTGGAGGGAGTCACTATTCACAACATCGTTCTTGCTGGCACTCTCTGCTGTTTAGGGAATTTAAACCACAATCATAAAATTTGTCTCCTCTTAAATTACAAACAAAATCGAGCCAATGCCAAGATTTGCAAAATTTTTTTCAAATGAGAAGTGTGTTTGGTTTCATGAAAAATATTTAAGTGGCTTTTAATTCCTCTGAAAAATCAATGCAATTCATGTTTTAAAATATATCACCACCTGTGACTGAAGGACATTTTAGAAGCAGGAAAATAGACAGCATTCTACTCTCTAGAATAAAAAAAACCAAAATCTAAGTTTTATTGGACTAACATAGGAATATTATTGCTGCAGTATAATTCAGGAATATAAGAAGTGCATTTTTATATTTCAGCTGCAAATTAGGCTCAAAAAGCATCAGAAGAAAACCTCTATAGAGAAATGAATTGCTCTCCAAAAGACAGGCTATTTTGAAGCCGTAAAAGAGCAGAAAAGCAACAGCAAGCGTTGCATAAGCAGATGCCCTCGCACCTTTCTGTCAGAGTACACACCTGCATAAATAAATATTTAGTCAAACATCAAAATTTATAAGGAAGCAGCCCACCGCTTTACAAAATCAGGCAAAAGCAAATCGAGACTCATTGCAGAGAGTCCTGCCCTGAATACTAATGCGTCACTGATACCCCAGGACCGAAAAGCAATGACATCTCAGGATCCTAAGCAAGCCTCATACATCTGCTGCGGGAGGATCTGGACACGTCTTGATAAAACCTTATTGCTAAAAATTTTGTGTTATCAGGCAGCTTTTGTAACAGACGCAAAGGCACGGCGTCCCGGCTACAGGGTTGTTCCCTGCGCTTATTCTAATGATATACATTCAATTACTCGAGAAAAGAAAAGAATCAAATCAGAAACATCTGTAGTTTGCCATATAATTACTGGATCTTCCCCATGGAGACTGACCTTTGTAACACTGATACCGGGACCTGAAAGGCTAAATGACAGGATATTCACATGGTTTAAATGTATAACATGATTACAAGGAATTAAATAGGCGCTGTTATTTTCCATCTTGGTTTATGTTAACATAAGCGTGGACTTTATGATCTTACGTTTAATCTTTGTGCCTAGTATGTAGTAGCTGAATTTACTCACTATTAGTGGACCCAGACCACTAACATGCCATGTTTTGATTATATAATAAAGTTGAATACTGGATTTGAGGTTAATATGCAGCCATTACTTTTACCTGTAATAGGAATCTTTTCGACCGGGCTTTCTTCCTTGCTCTCATCTTCACACCAGCTTGCGACTTCTGGATGTGAACACACCATAATGAAACACATTTCAAAGTCACAGTGATCAGACTGGTTTGTTTGCTTTTAAGCCCTACTCCCTTTAATTTCTCACTTTTGTTATCTCTTGTTTATTGATCTAAACTATCTATTACCGTCCTTAAAAGAGGCGCCTACTGTGAACTTTCCTTGTATGCGAGGCTACCCTGCCTCACTGTAGCTTCCACAGAAAAGGACAAGCTAACCAAATGTCTTAAATAATTTAAGACCCAATGGGAGTTAGGAAACAAACAACCCACAGTAACTCTGCGATCTCGTCCGGCAGCCCGACAGCAGCAGTGTATATCATACCGACTGCAGAAAATTAGTTTAAATCAAAGTCTCTGTCTCCTCCGTGGATAAGAGTCACGTGAATTTAGGAAGCCTAAAGCAGTTTGTTTACATTTGCTGTGTAAAGAGCATTGCAACTTAATTGCCTGTCTCTTCCGGACTTTGATGTAAGGGATGCTCTGAGAGCAAACCGAGCAAGTTGCCGTCGCCAGTTATTACGCCGGACTAATATATTACTTCCTTATCTAAAGAAATTAACTGGGTTTTCACAAATGCGTTTACCTTCTAAGCTCTGAAATGGCACTGCACACCTTTCTCAGCATGAACCCTTTTATTTTTGAAAATTTTTTCTGCGGTCTGGCTTTATAAGAAAAGGCAACAAATACATCCCACAATTTCTAAATGGCAGACATTTCTTAAATACACACACACCTATAGATCCCTTTTTCAGAAGTGCCCAGAGGCTTGTTTATCTACTCCTGCAGGAAAAAAATGGTCACTCATTGTAAGAAGTAACAAGAATGACAAACAATACTGAGATATTTAGGAAGAACCCCAAAGCTCATTACAAAAATGTACATTAATGTGCCAGTCGCTACAATACAGTCCCCTGCCCATTTGGATAGAAAATACATATATACAGAGGAGGACAGTAACGGAGTGCACAGCTGGACCTTTTAACACTTGTTACCTTGTTCTCCCGTGCCAGCGAGCTGGGGAGTGTGTTTGGCCTGCTTTAGTTCGCCGCCGTCATTTGGGATCGATGGCAAGCTGCAAGATGATTCATTACTCTGAACAGATGACCTATCCCCACACTCTTCTGGAATGACCTCTCTCAACACCGGTACAGTCTGCCACATTGAAAAAAAAAAAAAATAGCCACAGCCCTATTATCCTCCATCTCCAGTGTTTTCCAACATACATTTAGGCTAATCTATACTCCACGGTGTAATCTGTTTCCAGGGTGTTTTTGTTAGACGTTGAATTACCTCCAAGTTACATTGGTGCTAGCTCAGGAATTGCATTCTGCCTTGAAGTAATACAAACTTTGAATTATTCTTTTAATGACTAGGTTTTCTGGCAATTCTCAGTATTCCCTGCCTCATGGATTCAGGGTAAGCAAAACAGAAGGGTTTATTCAAATATGCTGCAACAGCAACAGACTGAAATCTCTCCATTTCAGGCACACGACAACAAGGCAGGTTAACCCACAGCGTTAGCAACAGCTGCAGCTTAAAACACCACTGAGACCAGGGAACCTAAAGTCAGAGAACCCAATGCGCAGCTCGCCCAAGCTAGCCTCAGCTGGGTGCAATTCTGATTTTAATCCGTGTTGTTCCTTCATGTTTGTACAGTTTGTTCTATCCTGCCTGTGCCTGCAGCCCTCTGCAGCAGCACTGTTCAGACCTCCGTAGCTGAACATATTTTTGACACAAAAAATTAAGCTGAAAGTCAGTACCTTTATAGGGAGTTGAACATACAGTAAATACAGCTGAGTTAAAAGCAGGCTTAAAATAAAGCAAGCACATCTTAGGTTATCATCTGGCTGTGTTAAAAAGTACTCTGTGTAACTTTATCCAGCTCCTCCTGAGAGCGGGAGAAATCACCCTTCCTGGAGTTTATTTCACAAAGGGCAGCAAAGGCTTTTTGGGCATCCTTGCTATCTTTTCTTTACTTTTAGGGTGCTCCTCCTGGTTTTATTTTAGAACACAAAGTATGGACCTGAGACTTTAAAATCACTAGATTTTCTGCTCTAATTACCTGATTGTTTAATAAAACAACAAGCCTTCAGCGATGAGGACCAACATCTCAAAGAACTCCAGGCTTTGTAACTTCTTTTACATGTACTGACCTGAGAGTATGGGACAGCTTCAAGCCAAAACATTCTGGACTCCTGAGAACATTTTATTCTCCCGCATCTGCCCCCTCCTTATTAATCCATATTTATTCAGTAGCCCAGAAAAGGCAACTTTTCAGTCTTAAGCAGAGCTTGCTGAATTTTTTTTTCTTTCTATTAAACTCACATATGGGAAGTCTCCATACAAAACTGACATGAGCAAGCTGCTACTTCATCCAAAAAATGAGGATTTTCAGTCTCATGTTCTTAATGTAAAGAATGCCTTAAATTACAGGCAGGATTAGGAAATCTTTACTATCGAAATGAATTAATTCCCATGTAGCAGTTTATCTCAGTGTGGATTTCTCACACCAGAAGTACTTCGTTTACCTATTTGCAGTATCATTTAACATCCAAACAGGCACGAACCACCATCAACAAATACAAGCAATCAATGTAAACTCTAACACCATCATTGATCCAGGCAGAAAGAAGGTTCCCACGAGGAGAACCAAAGCTCGGTGCTCAGAGTCACAGGGACCAAGGCGACTCCGGGATGGCTGACATCTCCATCAGGGTGTGAACACATCTAACATGCTGCATGAGCCACATGGGTCCTAGTCTTACAGGAGTGTAACGAGGCTGAAAAGGGAACCAGATCCCACAGCTTCCACAGCCAAGGGACCAGCGCACCAGCAGAACAGGTGTTCCTACCACACCAGCTCCCTATGGCTGTCCCACGTCCACAGGAACAATACCCAGTTTTCTTAACAGGCGTAACGGGAGAGATCCGCGAGAGAAGAGAAAGACAGGTACTAAGACTAGAAGAATAGAAGACAGACATAATTTAGTGATAAGAGATGATGAGAAGACAGGCAGGTGGACAGACAGACTCTGTGGAATGAGTGAGATGCTGAAGGCACTGAAGGTAGACCTGCTGCTGGTCATCTCCAAACCTCCATGGATGACAAGTGCTGATGGGGATGGACCTGACAGGTCTATTTCTCTGGTTAGGAGCTCAAAGCTCCCTCTGGCACTCCCCACCCTGCTGCCTGCCTCTACAGTACCATCATCCAGTAGGGTTCCTGACAGATTTTTAAGCCCTCAGAGAAAGCAGTCATCAATGCGGGCGAAACATTCAAACTTTGGAGTCGTAAATATTTAAGATCCTTAGGTGCAGATCGCTTATGAGTTCACTATGACATTACATACATTTTTATGATAAAGCAACTGTTCCTGTACACACACATTATGTAATTTATTTTGATCCTGTTCTGTGCATCCTGCTTGGAAATAAGTCGCTTCAAAGTAGGGGATGCATCCTGGCATTATGTTTAATTGACTGAATCCACTTAAGAGGCAGTATAAATGTTGAATGCACATGTGTGGGCCACTAACATGTAGCAACAAACAGATAATTACTGCATATATTCATCCATAAAGCTGGTGTTACTGAGCTTTGACTTTGTACAAGTTTTTACATACAATTATAAATTTATGTATGGTATTTGTTTATCTGTCACCAGCGCAATGATACACTCCTTGCTCATCTCTTATTTTCCAGAATGTTTTAAGGACAGAATACAAATTACTTACCCACACACAGAAAGAGAATTTACCCCGGCTATTACTGAAAGCGTACAACTGACTAAAATATTATATCTTCATTACTTGTTTCAAATGCTATTAAAACTAAAATATAGCAAAGAAGTTCAAACTGCTTTTTAAATTCTCATTAAAAATCAGTGGAAAAATATTTTTTGCAAATGTTTTTTGGAGCAGAGCATATCGCCAACTAGTTACTGGTGGGCTGCCTGGCAGACCTCCCTGTACCCACCACAGAGGTGGTGCAGAAGGAGCTGGGACACCACCCTGGTGCCAGAATCCCAGCTCTCCTGGTATGGCTGCAGCTGGAGGCAGCAGGGATCGGAGTCCTGCCCTCCCTGCACGGTTTGCAGCAAAAGAGGTCGGGACATTTGTGAGTCTATCAAATGCCAACTTTTTTTTTGTTTTGTTTTAAAAGAGTTAAGTTTATAACCTTTTGTGTTAATGTTTAAAAAAAGGAACATACTGCTATTTGTAAAATGCTCTGCGTGTTCAGAGTACCAAACATAACTCTGTTTAAGTAAATACATACATCATTCATGATAAAAAGCTACTAAGCCACAGAGAAAGAGAGATGATATAAGCCTTGTGATAAATTTGCACCACAGCAAATGCGTGAGCTTGTTTAAATAAATAACTGGTTTGAAAGGTGGAAAACAGACACCCTCCTGGAGACCTTAACAAGACTGTTTTCTTCGTGGGACGAAGTGCTGTTCATGTTTTCCCCGAGACAACTAAAGAACTTGTATTCTCTCCTTACCCACCTCCTAACCATCTCCAAAGCTGATTAACAAACACAGACTGTGTGTCATTCCCCTTAAAGCCCACACACCGGATCACATCAGCGGCACAGGGCCCGTCTCACCTTAATGGTGCAAGCTAGTCTCTAGGTGTCATTGATGGAGATATTCTTAAAGTGCTGACCTGGCCATCCTGCGCCTTCTTGCTGGAAGCCAGTAGCCTTTCAAACATCTCCGCCACTTCTTCCGTGAGCTGAACCTGGTGCTTCTTCAAGAACAAGGCGTGGCTGCTCAAGCAAGTCCGCAGCATGTCCATGTCCCACTGCTGGTCTGGCCTGAGAAACAAACCCAAACACTGTTAGTAGGACACCCCACACACGAGCCTTGCACAGACGCCGCACTACTCATTCATCTGGACAAGAGGGTTAGCATGCAGTGGGAAAAGCCATCACACGTTTTGGCCTTAATTCACATTTTTTCTTTCAAAAGTGTTCAAAGTAGAAAATGTAAGAAGTCACTCATGACTTCTGCAAAGGTGAGGAGGATGGCAGGGGGCAATCATCATTGTCTGTCCCCTGGGTCTGTCCTGAGACTCAGGGTCAGGAAACATCAAACCTTTTCTGCAGCCCCTAGTCTCAGCCTTGGGCAGACCTCACTTAGTCCATCTGGCACTCTGCTGGGCACCCCCTTCCCCAAGATTGTCTTTTTTATCCCTTCCCCCTCAGAATTATTTTTATTATTTTTGAGCAAAATGCCTTTTAACACAAAAAAATATAAAATACTGCAGTCTTGTTTGCCAAAGATGTTTGTTTTTCCAGTTGCTCCAATGAAGTTTCACAAACAGAGGAGTGAATTCCAATTAACTCCACAAGTGTTTGTCCCTAAGAAACCATTCAGGAAAGACAACAACGTATTAGCGCTTGCAGGCATATCAGCCTCGGAAGGAGGACTAGATATAGTTAAATAGACCATTCTTCAGCGTTCACAAGTGCCCCGATCCTGCTAACACTTGAGCATTGCTGAGCCTGTAACAGGGAGGAAGGTCTGAACAGAAGCTAAGTAAGAAAGGAGATTGTTTTCATTTCTGCATTTAAGACACAAAAAAAAAAAAAAAAAAAAAAACAATCAATTCTCACTTGTCCTTGTGGCATACACACTGGAAAGGAAAAAAATCATTTTGAATAACTGCAGTTTATTGTTTTTAAAGGCTATATGCATCTCCTGCTTCACAGAAAAATAATTTGCTTCTCAAAATTACATTCCCCATCCTTACGTGCCTGAGATTCGTGTTGAAGATCACAGAAATTACTGGCTAAGAGGTCTCTGAAGTTAATACGTTTCCCTCCCTGCCAGAGCACCTGGGGTGGGAGATGCTGTGGACTGGGCGAGATGGGTGGACCCAGCCCGAGTGCTGCCCGGCAGAGTAAGATTCACCATCAGTGAATGAAAAGGAAAATAAATGAATTTGCTTAATGTTCTCATTCTGAGTCACACAGCTGCTGCCAAGATGCATACTCAGACATCTTTATTTTCCAGTGCGACTGCAGGTCTGGCCCTGGGTCTGCTTTCTCTGCACCAGAGAGGTAGAGCAGACTTGGGGAGGAAAGAAAAGAATGTTAATCACACCCACATGCAAGTTTTGTGTCTGCAATACCTGGTTTTCTTTTCATCCATTGCTCTACCTTTAGCATCAAGTGTTTTCTCAGGTAGGAGGCATCCATTCAGCATGCTCTGTAATAAAGCCCGAAGCTGATGAAGGACGACTGCTTCGCATGCTTCAAGGTCGTCTTCTTTCAGACTCTCAGCCCGATTACAAAAGCTACAAAATAAAGCAGGTATTACATGCAATGTTTTTTTAAAGCCCAGACAGCCAGCACTGGTTTGGAGGCAGAATCTGTAACACTTCTCCTGGCTAACGGGATAACTGCCCAGAGGCACAGACATCCACGATGCTCTTTGCAAAAGATACAGAACAGGAGAGCGAGGTTAAACCCAGTGCCTAGAAAACACCAACTTTAATCTCACCCCTTTGCTTTTTGACACAGAAAGAGAGGAACCTGTGCATATCCGCTTGGTGAAACGACTTCAAAGCGGTTATGTCACAGGAACCCATCTCCAAGGGTAGCCTGGAGGGGCCAGATCAGTTTGGGAACCCTTCCTCCCATTTCCCCAGAAATCCTCTAACCATCAAGTGCTTATGAGAATTCTAGTTTCTGGAGACGGACATACAATTTTAAATAAAATTACAAAGCCACTCCCAGTTCTTGTAATTAAGAGCCCATGCTTCAGAGGGACAGGAAGGGCTCTCTGACCTTGGTTTTGTTAACATGCGGGTTTTGGTGATTCTCTTTGCTCTTCTATCTCAAAGAAGAAATTGTTTTTCTGGTTTGTTGTCCACCTCAGTAAACTGTATGAGCATTACTAGCTAAGCGGATGCTCTCATTCTTGGAAATAAGTATTTACTTCACCTAAGGGATCTGTGGAGCAAGGCAGCAAAAAGTGCTACATTTAGGAAAGAGTATTTGTTGGAGTAATTTGGGTATGTGCTTTTAAGTGCTATATTTCAGCTCTCTGGTGACATTAAAATGGTGGAAGGGGAGAGAGGCCTCTTAGCAGCTGGCAACGTTTGTTTGCAGGAGCCCGCTTGCTCTTTGCACCAGCCATTTGTCACCGCAAGAGCAAGGACCGCCGGCTCAAATCTCAGTAGGCTTCTGCAAAGCTGCTCGGTAACAGCCTCTTGCCAATACTCACCTGAACTCAGTTAGAAGCACGTAAGCAACCAACATCACAATTATCACAAGCATTACACTGGACGCACAGCAGCAAGCAAACAAGAATACAGGGGACAGGATGAAGGGGTAGGCAGCACTGCCCTCCTCTCCAGTTCCTGCCCACTCGGCAAGGGCAGCGGAGAGGGGAGGCAGCTCACAGGGAAGCGGCACTAACCTGAGCAGCTCCGCCGCCCCCATCGTCCTCAGGTGCTCACCCTGGTACAGCAGCCGGTGCTGGGGCCCTGCCCTCACCACCACATCTTCTACCAACTGCAGCACATGGCAGAGTCCTGCCAGTGTCCCGCGGTGCCTGCGGACCGACAAACAGGGCTTGAAGTGACCCGAGTTGCGACAGGTATTTTAAATGCATTCCCATGACACCAGCTGGAAAAATAAACAAATATCCTCATTTTAGCTTTTCAAAGCAAGCAACAGCAAAAACCACATTGCTTGAGCTCTGTAGGACAAGAAAAAAAAAAAGCACACGAGCAAACAAACTATCAAAAAAATCAGCCGGGGCCTGAGATGCTGCATTGAAATCACCCTGCCCCAAGCAGTTTAATTCCTTCACCTCCACAATCGAAATAAATCTGGTGACCACCTACAGGTACGGGGACATAACTGGGACCTCAGAGGGGTTCTGATGAAGCTGCACCTCTATAATGATGCAAATCAGGACTTAAACATTGAAACAATCCAGCCGGCTAATCCTCGAACAGAGGTGTAAATGGCTATTCAGGCCCCGGCCGGCTGCCTGCTTTGTTGGGGACTTTCCAGGCCAGGTCTCCACCAGCAATGCCCCAGCTGGGCCGTGTGCCCATAGAGCCCTGCGGGCAAAATAAAGATTTTTTTTTTTTTTTCTTCTCCTGTATGTAAAAGCTGACATATTTATACAGTTAATCTTGGTTTACACTCCCTCAAGTGCAAAGCTCTGCACAGAAACTCACATCATTTCTGCAGTCGTGTTCAGCTGTACTAAAAGTTATGTTTTCCATTGGACTGTTGGGCAACAGTGAACAATTAAGTGGGAGCTGCCGTGCATTTAGTCGAGTTTCCTAGACATTTAATAAGCAAAACAATGCCAGGGAGATCACATATGCAGTTAAACAGTGCTTTTTCTTTTCCCCCAGTCTTACAAACCCTGTATTTTAGCGGCCAGCTCGTTTCCCATTGTTTTCCTCCCGCTGGGTGGTCCTTCCAGGGTGCCACTCGAGAGGGATACAATAATAAAAAGGGAAGGGGAAGGAAGGGACACCAACATAAAGAAAAACAAAATGTATGACAATCTGCAGCAGGCTACGGATCAGAGGTCAGCAAACAAGAGGTCCTTCTCTTTTACAGGTTGCTTCCTGGAAACAGTCTGATTAAGCTGACAGCTTGAATTATGTGTTACATTTTGTAATGCACAATCCATCTGTGCTAAGTCCTCTTCAATGCAGCTGAAGCAGCAGAGGCATAAGCTCTGCCTTTTTCCACCCCCTCAGCGCAGGCCTTAAAATAGTCATCATCTTTCTCTGCGTTAATTCTCAGAGACCCTCTCCTCACACCCCCCCCGCCACTGCCCGGGTTTAAGCCCTCGAAGAAAGGGCTGGGTGCTGTAAGGAATGGTAAGAAGATACGGAGCCTTTCGCCTCCGGTTCAGCGGCTCAGACAGGCAGCAAGCAGCCGAGGACCGGGGCTATCGGGTGGCTTCACCTGGTGGGAAGGGAAATCGGATGCCTTCATGGCACCAATTGCACGAGCTGGGCAAGCCCCCCGCTCACCAGTGGGCTCCTGGGCTGCAGAACTGAACAGAAAAATACACGGATCAGGCTCTCGCACAGCTCTGAGCTGGCAGGATGAGTCTGAAGAGCTGCGTGTATAGCCTCTGATCAACACACCCACTTAGCAGTGCTCGGAAACAGCAAAGTTACTTACCAGAAAGCACAATTTTTAGTAATTAAGGTAGAAAAATTGCAGCACCCTACTGTGAACTGCAACCAAGGCGCAAATCTTACGCTAAATAACCTTTCATAGCAACACCACCTTTATTTGGTTAACAACTCAAAGACGTGATCATGATAACCATTCTTAGCTGGAGAAGGTGGCTTGAGACTAGGCTGAACTCACCCGGAGATAAAATATGACTTGCAAACACTCATTGAGGGGAAAAAAAACCACAAAAGTTTTTCTTAAAAAGAGAATGGTATCTCTGCAGTAAGGTAGGAAAGGCATTTTTCTCCAAAAATGTAAACTTGTGACTTCCTGACCTGCACAACAATTTTGTTTTGCCTCTTGAGTAAGCTGTGGTCTCTGCACAGACAAGCTCCTTTCAACTCCATCACTTGTACTAATTTCAAATAATACACTGAAAGTGTACAAGTGGTCCAAAGACAACAGTCGAGGAACGGTACTTCGTTCAGACGCCACAGCAGCAACACTGCTGCATTGAGAAAGTCCAAGCTACAGATACTTCAATTTAAGATGACAAATACACGCAGGTTTGCATAAGTTCAGCATATTTCTTCAGCTAGCATAGGAATTTCGTCAGAGAAAGACACAGACTGAAGGGACATCGCAAGACCTGTGGTATTATTTATTTTGTGAATCCATTGCACGATATCTTCAGACCAAAAAAAGGTCTCATTCTCATAGTTTGGGTAATTGCTATGATAGAAATTCATGTGCTAATAACTTGGAAACTTTTTCCCAAGGTTTTCAGCTCATGAATTATTTTGCAAGACTCGAGCATGGACGCTGAATTTCCCGTGCACTGGAAAGATGGACTTGGAAAGGCCCCCTGGTTATAAGTACAACAACAGAAAGGCTGCTTATCCCTCCACAAGGCCTTCCATGCCTGCCATTTTTGAAATTTTACCTGTGTTTCAATTTTCACATAAAACAGATTAAATTTCATAGCTTTTCTGCAGGAACAGCTAACAGTGGCAATCCCACTTCCATGGCCTTGAGAAATGGAGGTATTCAGCTTGGCATAATGCGAGAGGAAACCTCCACGTTCTGGTTTCAGTCGTGCTCCAGAGATCATACAAGCAGTGAAACCTTTCGTATAATTTAGTTGGGCTTCAAGAGCATTGCACAATATTTTCATCAGTTTATGAACAGCGAGGCATCACCAGCATCGACAGGAAGAGAACAAAAGGTTAAATTACCACCGCTCAGCTATGACTTCTCTAGCAAAGGCAGGCACTCTATGCAACTTCCCTACAAAGTGTTATGATTAACAGGTGTTTTACAAAAGAAAAACTGGGTAAAAGCTATTTAGATGTAAATTAGATGATGTTTCCATAGCAAGCAACAGTCTGATGCAAATGTGGAATGATAAAGTTACAGAAGTGTATATTGATGGCCCTGAGTTTCTGCTCAACTGCCACCTATTAAAATACAAACTAATATTGAAATCAGTACCTAAGACAACATGACCACGAACGTAGGAAGAATAGATGCGTTAAGCAGGTTAAAAAGCTGCAAACCACCAAAACCGAGAAAAACACCCAACCGGTAAGAGTGTACTTCTCAATCTCCAGGGGTAAAAACGGCTGGTTTCTTTCGTAGGTGGTCTCTCCCCAAGCTACAGCCACCACCTAAGCCCCTGTATGTAGTTAACCACTCCAGCTAGGAGTATTTTGCATGTGAATAGTGCCCGCACAAGACAGGGAGACCCAAGGGGAGCAGCACCGGCCAGAATACAGCACCTGCCTGCAGGAAAGGCTTGCTTCAATATTTGTCATGACTGGGGGCAGGAAAACGCTGGTGAGGAGGGAGAAGGGGTTTGAGGATACAGAGGACAAAGGAAACAGAAGCATGGCACTAAGGGAGCGTGGGCAGGAGAAAGGCAGCAGTCGTAGGTCACAGAATTGTGGGGTCAGGCAGCAGTAGGATGGCCAGGGTGAAGGGGGATGTGGACACGAAGCACTGCAGAGGGAACCGGCGGCAAACAGACTTTCAGAAGAACTAAGAGACAGGAGATCAAGGTGGGAGGGATGTGCCTGCAGCAGTGGGGCACGACAAGGTGGGGACCCACGAAGGGGTGAGAGCACTTGGCATAGGGCTGCTTGAGCACAGCGAGGGAGCAAAGCCAGCCCTCTTCTGTGATCTGGGCAAACCCCGTGGACCATCTCCTAGTCAGTATTGCCCTGCCAGGATGGAGACACACTTCCCTGTCTTATGTGGGCATTGCAAGGTCAAAGAGCCAGTTGTGATTGATACTACAGCTGATACTCTGGTATTGCAGCTGTCAGCAGTAAAACCCCACCACTTTCATATGGTTGCAAACGACAAGCCATGCATCTGTGTTGTGCTTTTCTCATTCTCTCTGCTATTTCCAAACAAAATGCTCAAGAAATTTATTCAATTGGAAAATCTAATCCACACAAAATATGCTGTTTAGTAAGTTACATGTACTATTAAACAAATTTGTTGAAATAATATTTGCTTACATTTAAAGAACATCTATTGCATTTTAACAAACATACTTACCTTCTCCAAGTCTGACCGGAATGAGTTACCTGAAGCCATTCCACCACTAGGACAGAGGTAGCGAGACACTAAAGAAGTTTGCCCATCTGCGTGCGAGCTTTAGTGCCACGTACCATCCAAGCTGTGAAAACATCCTCCAGGACATATGCTAACGAATGAGTACCAGCAGAGAGAAAAATACACAAGGACATACCTGTCTGGTGCTGAGCTGACCAAGGGCAGCTCCCGCACCGCGGGGAGGTTTGGTGGTTGCAGCAGGGAGCCCTCTGCAGTACAGGCACCCCTGCCCCGCTCCCAGCTGGCTGCTGGTGAGGCCGTTCCCCGCAGCACGCCAGGAGTGCTTGGCATCACCTCCTCAGCACTTGCGGGGACTGGGAGTTCAACGCTGCTCTCCCAGCTCGCCTCCTTACAAGTCCACAAGTTACTCGGGCAAGGCTTTGATCCTGTAAAAATAATAAATTAAAAAAAGTTACTCCCAAACCATTAGCAGGACTAAGGAATACATGCATATAATTCCAAGCATATGGAATTAAATCAAGATGACCTATGTCGTGTCCACCTCTCACTTATCACGCGTGAGTGAGCATCCCCCTGCTCCCCCTTCGCTTTAGGTTTCACTACCCAGGGCCCCGTCCGTGTGCTTCTGCGCTCCTCTCACAAGGGGGAGTCCGGGGAGGCTCCAGCCCTTTGGGTCTGCAGGACCCCGGAGCTGGGAGACAAACCCGGCACTCCTCAAAAACCATCACCAGCATGAACACCAGATACTTCACTAAATCATCGCTGGAGGAACGAGCACACAGAAAAGCTGGGAAAAGCTTTTCTTAAGGGGGGGAAAAGTGCACCTGAAGAGGCTACTGTCGTACACATTTTTTTGAACCTTGCAGAAGAAATACATGCCTGGAGGCTTTTAAACTCTGCACATTAATTGCCTTCTCTAAAAGAGTAGAGTACAGGGCTGAATCATGCTTCTAAGACAACAGATACATGCTACTTATCTTTTTATAGAATGCCAAAAGTTAATGGACCAGCTAGTGCTGTAACAAATTAGTATTACTACAGAAATTCAGTTTTCCATAAAATTCACCATGGGTTTAAATTAACCAGCATTAGCACACCTGCTAACACTACAGCACCCAGCATTTCTGCTTGTCTTGGTGATAGAGTTTCATTGGAACTGAGTCACTTAAGGTTTATGCCAAACAGTAGCTGATGCCAGGATGGGCTCTCTTAGCCTTGTTTCCAAATTTGTGAGGCAAGTATGTGCATCAGAAATGTCGCTCTTTCACCTGCTGGGAAAATGCAGACAGAGAGGAACGGAGTTTTTTTTTCTCCAGGTTGGGGAAGGGGAGAAAGGGGCCATTTTCTTGCTTCATTAACCTGGGGGAAACGGGATTTGTTCCTTCCTACATTTTGTGCTGCCACTGCCACGCAGCAGCCAGGGAGCAGCAGGAGAGGCTGGCAAGCGCTGCTCCGCACTGAGCCGGCAGCAGCCCGGTGCGTGCTTGCTCCCAATGTGGCGCAGCCAAGCATCTTCATCAGCTCCCATCATTTGTAGCATGGAAGGGTCAAGCTCATGAGAGCTGGAACACAGCAGTCCCCTCCACACATTAAAACCTGGACCATGTTAGCCTGTTCACTTCGCAACATGCATTTGGCAGCAGACAGACATAAAAGCCCCCCAGGCAGTCTGAGGTGATTACTGTGCCATTTGACAGAATGCTCACTTTGATTTTGAACCCAACTGTACAGTTTCTCTGAAGGCAGAGATACCACACTGCAGAAATTAAAAGGGTATTTCTTTCCCAGACACGATGCTGGCCACCTCGGCCTTCCCCGCGGGGAGGAACCGGTGCTCCACAGAGCCACAGGCAGAGCCCAGGGCTGATGTAAGCCAGGCTGGACTGGTCTCCTTCCAGCACCAGTGAGGACATGCTTTCATTAAAATGAAGAAGTGGCAAAAGCATCAGATGAAAGAAAATTAGAGGCAAATAAATTCCTTAGGGAAGGAAAAAATAATGGAAAAAAAAACCTCAAGAAAGAGGATACCAGAAAAACCCCAAAAAGGACTACAGAAGAGCATCTGATGGGGATGCCAGCTTTCCTCTATAAAGAAACCCACAATCATTACAGAGGAGCAGGAGTCCCTGCATCATTGTAACAGAAACTGGTGGCAACCCTAAATAGCTCCATTTTAGCTATTGTTATGGGACTTGCAAAACCAGTTTAAGTTGAAAATTGCTATGCTAACTGCAAGGCAGAGGAGAGTATTTCTGCAGGGTCTTAAAGGAATGAACTGTTACTTAGCGACAAATCTTTGTCACTGTGACTTCAAAACCAAGTCCATGAGCTTACTTCAAAGTAACTGACCAAGCCAGTAAAACGGGAGAGAACACATTTTGCCAAGATGCAGAGAGGGAGAAAAAAAAAAAAAAAAAGGAATAAGAAGTTGGAACGCAGCCTTTGAGGGCAACGCATCTCATCCCAGAGCAAGAGCATCCTGACTGGGAGGGTCCGCACCGCCTTTCTCAGGAAAGTCCAGAACAAGGCAGAGAACCACCACCAAGCAGGAATTAATCCAGCCACGTACAGGGACATACCGATCCTCAGTTTATGTTACCAAATTCGTTTTTTGGAAATGGAAGACCTATTGTGCACAAGCATCTGAGGGAGAAGGAAATCAACCTGAAACAGAAGTGACACTCTTCCAGCGAAGCAGGTTTACATTAAGCCTCTTAAAATAAGGTTCAGACTATTTCAAGAAAACCATGGGCACAACACTGAAGAAATCTTCATTTTCTAATAGTGAGCCTGAATGTGCTGAGTGCCCAGCAAGCCCCTGCCTGTCCAGATGAACAGCCTGGGAGGAGAGAGAGTCAAAATTAAAGCAAAACAAAAAAAGAGTGCTGCCGTGCTTTAACCACAGTGCAACGCACATAAGGGAAACCAGCAGCCGTGGGAGTCACTTTGTTTGGGATGAGTGTGCCCCAGTGCTGGGCAAGGGCAGACAGGCATGCATCCCACTGTACCTGGGACACTTCCCTGCAGCCATTCCTCCTCAGGAGCGGCTGGTTTGGGATCAGATGCTGAGGAGATGAGCTGCTCAGAGCCTTCCTCCCTAGCTGCCAGGTCCCCACATCTTGCTGCTCCCTCCACTGATGCATCACTCTCCAAATCAGCGCTTCTGCTCTCTGGACCAAGTCCTTGAAGTGATGGAGAGCATGAACGTGGGTTGAGCACCGGGCAGCTCTTTGTGGGCTGGGGGAGTTTCTGCTGCATGCCCAAACCTCCGGCATCCAAGACGGCTGATGTATGGCGACCCATAAAGTCTGTTGCTGGATGATACAGTCCTCTGGGCACAGCTGCCTTGGTGTCGATTCCTGCCCGTCTTCCAAACCGCAGCATCTGAAAAACACAGGTTGGAGATGGTGTAAGGGAACAAACAAGCAGCATGTTGTAAATGGAACTTCTAGAGGATGGCATGTTGGTTTCTGGAGAGAAAAGTGTCACAGAATTGATTATAATACAAGTATTTCCTATAGTAGTATTATTACACAAACACTTGGCATGCATTTCTTGCATCCTAGTGGGCAAACAAGGGCCCGGACCTTAACTGAAGCTCCATGAGGCAAAACAACCAGCGGCAAAGTGCACTGCATCCCCAACCCAACTAAAAGGGACTGAAATACATGAAAAACTCAGACTAATCTAAACAGTAACTGGTTTTTACAAACAGGGAAACATTCAAGATTAGACTGCTACAAAGGCTTTTAAGACCTTGGACCAAAGCACAACCTTTAGAGCTACCCACTGAAGTCACCAAAAATGCCTTGAAGTCACTGACTCTAGAGGAACCATTGTGCTCTACTTCTGCATGACTCTGTACAGCTGCCAGTAGCCTGTGGTTTAGGTACCGCAGCATCCCGAAGCCAAGACATGATCGTTAGGACCCCATTGCTGTGTCCATGGCACAATTGGCCTTTCTGGAGCCACCCGCAGCAGCTGCTCTGAGCAACCTCCTCCTGCCACTTGCTCATGGTCTTCTCTAGAAGGCAATGGGATGAGGAAGGGTCCCCAGAGAATGTAAATATACATCTGCCACCCCTTACTTGCCTATATATCCAGCTTTGCTCACAGCATGTCAACAAAACAAGTACGGATGAGACAAAAATTACTGTATTCATTTTTTTGCTTCTGCTTTTTCCTCTCTATTAAACCACACCAAAGAGAAAGAACGACTACTCAGCTAACGCCATGCAGATGAAATCGCATTTTCCACAAGGCAACTTTGGGCAGCAAACAGAAGCATTTTAAATCGCATGTCCCTCCAAGAACTGTTAAACTTGCATAAATACAGTTCCAACAATATAAGCACTCTGCTTCTAAATGCCAGTGTTTTAATACTTGCCTTTTTTTCTTTGTAAACTTACTCAATCAGAACAATTTAGGAGGAGTGGCTAGCCACCACTACCACTAAAAGGTCACTGCCAGTTTATGCAAAGTCAAAATTAGCTATCGTAATACCACTGTTCATACTAAGCAGCACTTACTTTTCAGCCCCAAATCACAGCAGGACAATTTACAGTCACCTCCACACCCCTCTCCTCTCTTTCATTGCCTGACCTCTTCCTACCATACGAAGTCAGCTGCCAAGCCCAGCTTAAAGGAAACAAAAGCATCTTGTCTAGTCTGTGACCAAGTTTCATTAAAAAGCTCAAATTCCACGTAACAAGAAGCAGAACAAAAAGCCATGAAGTTATTTTACAAAGGAGTAAAGGTTTGCTACTGAGATTAAGTTCACAGCTTATTCCATCACCACTGCTCTCGGGTTCCTCCTAATTGCTTTTTGGATCTTGGATTTGCTGCTTTAAAATGCATCTAGCAAGTACTTTATGGATTTAGCAGCTCCTGGATGTAGTGTTCCAAAACAAATGCAATTCAAAGAGGTACAAGTGCTTGGCAGAGTCATAGCAGATGCACATCTGTAACAAACTCCTCTAATCGCAGAGAAGAAAAAAAAAAAAAAAAA